AGAACTATTGTCAAACATTCCAAGAAAAAAAAAAAAAGGCAGGAAAACATTCTCTACTTTCCAGCAAGCCAGAAAACTGTTTTCAAAGGCTTTTGAAAAACTATGTTTAGTGCTTGCTTTTATTATCATTTGGAGGTCTGCTTTCACAAGATGAAACACAATATTTAGAAGGGAAAAGAGGCTGCCTCGGGAATATCTGAAGCCTGATTGTTACTTTAATGGCTTAAGTCTCTTTTTATCCATTTGACAAACAATTATTGAGAGTGTGCTTTGGGCAAAATGCGCGGTAAGCCGTCTATGTGTTTATTGGTAATGTGTAGCAAGCCCGCTTCTCCTCGGTATTCAGGGAGGGGCAGCCTCGCAAAGCGACCTAAAAGAGTTAATAGACCTCATTAGGTAACACATGGCACCACCATCCACCCAGTTTTTGGTTGGATAGCATTACCGAAGAGGTCAAGGTCTTCATTTGATCCCTGCCTGAAGAGGTTTCAGTCTTGCTCAGCAGTTTTGGGTCACAAACCATACCTCAACCTAACAGTCTAAGCCCGGGTCATAATCAGGCAAAAGGGTATATTAGAGCAAATGTGTTACTATCATTGATATTGCATGTTCACACTCTATGATTTTGTTTTGGAAGGACGGTACTTTATTTTTATTGCTATCAACTCATTTGTAAAGAAATAGGTAAAGAGAATTGCCTAAGAACATGGTATAAGGCTTTTATTTTTGTTTTCAATTTTTTATTTCCAGATCACAAATTTATAATTTCAAACAAATGTTGTTATCCTTAAAAACGAGTTTAAAAGAAAAAGACTGAGTTAAGGGAAATTCTACCAGCTATCAAAGTATATTTTTGGGCTAGAAACACATTAAAGGGCATAGTTTTAATGGAACTGATTAAAAAAAAAACAACTCAAGACTTTGCTTTTCAATATGTTATTTGTCTTAGGTATTAAAGTATCCTTTTACATTTATGGAAAAGAGTATGCTAATAAATAATTCCTAGCTATATTGCATTATTTGACAACCAGTCCCCAGTTACTTTCATTACATTAAACAGCAGTAAACATGAAAATGATGTCTCATAATGCATTGATAAAGTTTATCATTTTCTTGCTGAATTTATCACTAAGACAGCTCACATCATTTTCACATCATTTAGTAGATTCAACATGTTTTCAAGGCTACTGACATTTCTGTTGGTTTTGAGTGGCTTTTAATGTTTATTTGTACTTCGGTAGGAACTGAAAAATCTCATTAAAAGACAGTTGCTCATTTCCGTTAAGGGGCCATGAAATATGGATGGTAATATTTTTTCATCTGAGTCCAAGGTGAACAAGAAGAAAGAATACTCATAGATCTGAAACACCAACTCATTTGCTCAAGAAATTTCCTTAGTAGTAATAACTTTTACCTGTTATTTCATTTCTTTTGAAATATGTGATAATTTCCAATGGGTGAAGACCACCAACAGAGAGTGACATTAAACAAAGATCAGGTGCAATTTAACTTGCTTGGAGAAGTATTCCAGAGTTTCTGCAATGTTGTAAAACTTCTTGAACACCATTTAAAGCATAAAATTGTATAAAATTTGATGTACATTTATTTAATACCGAGTTCCAGTCTCCCCGTAAATGCAGAGAGGCTGTCCTATAGGCAGAAGTTGGTTTATGCGTTTATTCATCTATTTGTCCAGTGAATGCTTATGGACTGCCTAAGTAACTGTGATTTAAGATAAAGAGTGAAAAATCAAAAAGAGAGATATATGGACAAAACATTGATGGAAATAAAAACCCCACTGCTTTAAGTGTTCATGGCAAGGGGCTTAGGGATTTCTTACCTAAGCTCCTGTGAATTTATGATAGTCCCTCAATTCTTTAACCAGGCCAGATCAAAGTGATCTGCGGAGTTCATGTACATTTGCCGTGTTGGTACACAGCTAAGGGTAAGTGCACTACTTGGAAGTATAGCCGAGAATGAAGAAATTATCAAGGTCAATGCCCAAGCTACTAGCTCTCAAAGATTCTCTCTCTCTCTCTGCACATGTCATTGTAGTTAAGATTAAATGCTTTTGCCGTTTCTAGCCAAATTTGAAATTTGGTAGACATGGTATAAAGATGGGTTTGATGAAAATTCAGCCAACTTTGTTTAACTCGAAAATCAGTATCCTTTGACTTGAGTTAAAAAGATGTGTGTGTGTGTGTGTGTGTGTGTGCGCGCGCATACATGGAGAATTGGGGGACGTAATGTCTTGCAGTTTCTATGAAAATGTGGATGAAGGTTCTGAGCCTGTGTAGTGCACCAATTCTCTACCTTCCAAGCAGCTTAATCCAAGGACACTGTACGACTAAATCCGTGTGTGTGTGTACATGTTTGCGTGCATGTGCATGTGTGCATGCGCTTTCTTCAGACACAAGGTGCCGTACTTCTCTCACAGAAGAAACTGAGGTAGTCAAGTAGAGTGTCATTGATAAAGGGCTTTACTCTATGTTCTGTAGGTCTAATGCCTTAGGTTGATTGTATTTCTGATTCAAATATGCTTATTCTCACAAGATTTTAGAATTTAGTTATGACAAACCCATTCCACTAAATTTCTTTTCTCTTTCTTTCCTTCCTTCTTCTTCTTCTTCTTTTTTTTTTTTTTAAAGATTTATTTGTCAGAGAGAGAGAGAGAGCAGAAGCAGGGGGAGTGGCAGGCAGAGGGAGAAGGAGGCTTCCCGCTGAGCAGGGAGCCCGATGTGGGGCTCGATCCCAGGACCCTGGGATCATGATCTGAGCCGAAGGCAGATGCTTAACGACTGAGCCACCCAGGCGCCCCTCTTTCCTTCCTTCTCTTTCTTTCCTTCCTCTCTATCTTGTTTTTCTTTCTTTCCTCTCTCCCCCCTCCCTCTTTTTCTTTTTTATTTATAAAACTTTGCCAATATGGGCATTAGGAAGGTAGGCAATGGATGTTATCTAAAGTAACATAAAGTAGGATTAAATTAGTTAAGAAAGACAGTGTGAAGATTAATTTAGTAATTTCTATCTTTTCTCTACCTTATTATTATTCAGATATTTAATCCAGAAGTTGTTTGGGAAGCTAAATTATCTAGGTAATTATTTTGGTAGTAAATTATCTAGGCAATTATTTTGGTACTCTACTGTATTTATTATGTAAATACAGTCACCAAGTGAAACTTTAAGTTTACCAAAAAAATGTACAGAATATATACATCGCAAAAATGATTATTGAATATATTCAATCAATTCATGTAGATAAACACACTATGTGCTACTGGGGCATACACAAGAAAGCAAAGGACAATCAGAAATTTCTGGACTTCTATAAAGTACGTATCTTTTGTCTAAAAATCAAAATTTTAATTTGCTTTCAATACTTTTAAAAGGCTATACCCAATTTGAATGTAAAGTGAAGAAAATCTTTATCTCAAATTTTTCTTAGTACTTTGCCATCTATTTGAGAAATGAATTTCAAAAGACTATGCTTACTGTTATAATAAAAATATTTATTATAAAAATGGTTACATCTCTCTGTACATAGAGAAAAAAACACAAATTATACATCAATAACTTAAGCGGGCCTGAACATTCAGTATCCATCTGCTAGAATCCTAAAGCTCTTCCATAGATTTCACAAATACCAGTGTAGACTATTTCTATTTCATAGAACTCAATTTGCACAGTTTATGTTATTGTGATATTAACATTTCTTCTCTAGTATTTTAAAGATAGTTCACAGTGTTGGGGTTAATTACGTAATCAACTGCTTTAAATCTTTGGTAAATACAAGTATTTACATGCAAAACGTTTAAGTTCAGTAAAAACTAAAAAGTCAAATAACCTATTGCAAATAGTTTTGTGTAATCTATAAATGCATGAGCCAGAGTCCCACGATCAAGAAAAGCCACTCTCTAGGATTTCTCATGATAGAGTCTGACATCCACAACAAATCATTTGAGGCCTCTATGGCCACGACCAGAAGCACCACAATTCTAGGCCACAACAAAATTAAACACGAATGTTAAATTCAACATATACAAACAGTACTGATTCTTTTACAACGCAGAAAATTCTAGCTTTTTTCTATATCCTGGTTGACACATCAATTTGACATGGATGAGTTTATTATCTCATAAAAGCCCATTATCTTGCAAAAGTGAGAGAACCACTTAAAGAAGCCATTCTGTTTTGAAAGACATCAGTTCAGCCTCTTGCCAGTAATTTATCTATGAAAATATAGATCATTTCTTGAAATAATTTGTAGGGGAAAAAGCAAGATGCCTGCCCTCTGTTTCCTTCCTTCCCTGCTTCCTTCCTTCCTCCCTTCCTTCCTCCCTTCCTTCTATGAGAGTTATGTACTAGACAGGCCTGTCAACCTGCCTATTATACTTAAAGTCCCCCAAAGTTCCATATGCATTACAACTCTCATGTATCAGCCCTCAGTCTCAATGATTCAAATGAACGCCTCCTGGCATGAAAACCTCTTACTCCCAGGCTATTTGTTAAAAATGTCCCAAGAAGTCTTTAAATTCTAATGTTCCCGAGCCATTTGATAATTAGGAATCATTTTTAATGTTAATGCAGGAGTGTAGAGAATATAATTACACATATATCAAAAATGTATCTTTTTAAGCCTAGAAAGGGGATGCCATCATTGGATTACCACCATTGCAGGGGAGAGAACAGCCCCCCTACTGATTTAGCTTCTGAATGCACGATTTCTTCCCCTAACATTGGTTTTTCCAATCTACCATCTCATTTATAAACAAAGCAAGGTGAGAGATAGTTTTGGCTATCTTCTCCCCCTCCAACCGCTAACATCCTGAATTCAGTGCCTATTTTAAAACTCACCCAAGACTAGGCAGGCACCTGGCAATAAGTGTTCACTTATGACATGAAGTGTGAACAGGAAAGCAGCATAATGAAAATACAGTATTTATCAGAAGAGGCTTTGTTCTGAGTTTCTACACTGGCCCAATGCCTTGGCTGCAACTTTGAATAAAACGTTTTGACTCATTCCTCCTCATTCAAATAACATACAAAGTAAATGTTATTTAGTCACCAGCTTTTCCTCCCTAGAGCACACAGAAATATAGGAAATGTACCTTTACATACACTTCTAATGACATAGCGCAAACTAAGCCCCACTCCTTTGATGGCAGGGAAATATTGGCATATTGACACTTGATATGCAATAAATACCAATATCTTATGCCATCAACCGCAGGCCTAAAATATCAGTCTGTTGCAAGTGCTAGCTTATATCTTCACTTTGCTCGCATTCCCATCCTTGTTGATATAGACATGGCAAACTGAGGCTTTTCATGGATTTGATATAAGCTCGTACGTTATGCTAAGTTAAAGAATAACGCCTGCATTACACTTTCCTGGGTCAGAGAAACGGGCTTCGTTCCTCTTTGCACCACTGTTCCGATCAAGGAGTTTTTGTTGCTTTTGTTTGTTTTTGAGGAAACAACAGTTCACACGCAACCATGCAGGAAGCAGCACTGGCGTAGACCCACTTTGATCCCGTAAAGTGTCCCGAGTGTCCCTCTTCACAGAGCCACTTTCCTCTTTGACAGGTTCTTTGGTTCCTTGCTTGGGATACACCAGTCGTCAGCTTCGATGCTCATCTGATAATGTTTGAAGGCTGATTTGTTAAAGACTGGGAGTTTTTCTACAGACTCTGAAGATAAAGCCTGCATGAAGAGAGGAGAAGAAAAATCAACTCAAAGAAATTACTCATGGCATGATTTGTACATGAAGTGATTATTCAAAATAAATCCAGAGGAAAGTATTCAAACATTCAAATACGTTCCTTTAATTGAGTCAGCTAGCATATAGCCCATAGTATGCTAGGCAGTATATAAAAGTAAAGTAAAAAACAAATATTATTTCTACCCTCTAGGGGCTAAAATAGCACATATACAATTATAACTTGGGGAACAAAATCTGTCTTCAATATTTACACCTGTCCCTTGTACAGATATTGCTGATGTGACAGAACTGAACAGCAAAGCTATTCTTTCTTTACAAAATCCTTTGCCTCTGTGATAAAGAGTCCTAATCTGATACTATTAATTTATTAAAATCTGATACTATACATCTATCATCTCTTAATCTTTCCCAGTACTTGGAAAACTTCTGTTCATTTAAGAAATGAATACATTAACTATTTTCAGATAGTCAAAGGCCTCTCGGCAAATAATTCCCTTGCACAAAATGGGAGCCTACAAGCTTAATGTTTTAGTGACTAATATCTGTAAATACATTTTCAGTCAAAAGAGCTGGAAAACAATTAACAAATCAGGACAGTGACCTTAACAAATAAATTGAGGCTTTACCAGAAATAGAAAAAACATGTACCAACTTTTAAAGTTTAATCAGGAAATGCCAGACATCCTACTGACAGCTTGTGAGCAGTTAGCTTTTCCTTCCCTGGATTTCTAATAAGGTCAGCTTAAGGTCTTGAGTTTCTTGGTATCTGTTGTTTTCTAGGCTGGAACATTATTAGCATGTATTTCCCACGAGTTTAAGTAAAACCAAGGTACAGCTACTCTCACAGATGCCAAAAGGCATTGGTTTAAAAAATTCACATGAGGATCTCCTCACTTGGAAACTAATGTGCATCTTGAGAAACAATTTTGCTTCACTTGAAGCAGGTAGCTTGGCCCCACTTCCAACTGGTAAGTTACCATATTAAATATTATATAGTACAACTACACATACCAAACAGAAAATACAATGACTTATGGTCGTTATTTGCATTAACTCAGTTTGGGGTATTCACTGTGGACCATGGAACTCAGGGCCATAAAAACAACATTGCTTTCAGAAATATTGTTTCAGGGCGCCTGGGTGGCTCAGCCGGTTGGGTGTCCGACTCTCGATTTCAGTTCAGGTCATGATCTCAGGCTCATGAGATCGAGCCCCGAGTCGGGCTCCACACTCAGTGGGGAGTCCACTTGAGATTCTTTCTCTCCCTCTCTTTCTGTCCCTTCCCCTGCTTGCACTCACTCTCTCTTTCTCTCTCTCAAATAGACAAATAAATAAAATCTTTAAAAAAATAGAAATATGATTGTTTCTACTGAATTAGAAGGATACCTTTAAGTAGATGATGGCGTCTGTTCCATATCCTGACATAGAGTAGAGATTCAGATCTCCTTGAAAGTACTTGGCATAGAGACGAGAAATTGGCAAGCCATAACCAAAACCAGCCTAGAGGGAAAAGATCAGTTATTGGCAAAGCAATGGACATGCTCACTGAAATATAAAACATAGGAAGCAGTGATTATCCTCCCTGCTACTGATGTTCTAGAACCCAGATAAGTATTTTCTGCTTCCAATCCGAGACCTCTTGCAAATTGTTTCACCGTCTTCAGCTTGCTTTCTCATGCTTTCTTCTATCCCCCATGCCCAATTTAACTAAATTGACTAACTTGCCTAAATACTTCTTTGTAATCCTTGCTTTACATTTAGAACTAGGTGGCTGGGATGAACTTAGCCATTTAATTGGTCTTACCAAAGGAGCATTCCGGGCATTATCCATCACGGGCGTTGGTGCAGTGGAGTATGTGTAACTAAAGAGGCGGTCAATGATCCTCAGGGGAACGCCACCTCCTCTGTCCGAAATCTTAAATAAACAAACAAACCAAAGCTATGCATTAAAAACAAGGTGCATTTGTCGATCTAAAAATGTTTTTCCTTTATTTAAAAGTCACCCGGTGTACATGACTTTGATCTGCGGCTCAAAGCAGAGCACTTTATGATTATTGACACTTTTTTAGTTCTCTCAAGAGAGACTCAAAAGAACAACAGAGAATGGTTACCTTAATTGTAAGATCTTCTTTTCCCAAGACAACAGTCACTTCAATTGGTGTAAGGGAAGGCCAATTTTCCTGGTGTTCAACTGTTGCTCTCATCGCATTCTAAAGAAATCAAAACCATACAGAATTCAATGGCAGAAGAATGAGAAACAATAAATAACAGTTTTTTATGTTTAAAATAAAAGCAGCACAGAGGGTAATTCAAAGTTCCTATTTTTTTTTTAAGTTAGTAGTAAAATAGCTCTGTAAATAGCCATTTATGAATGTGTCATGCAGGATGTATAATGAAAAATATTCATTTACCATGTAACATAGCTCCTGGGAGTAATGTCTAATGGAAAAACAATTCTGCTAGCTGTCAAGTTCTTATTTGTAAGCTTAATTTAAATGTAGAAATTGGTTTTTATAGTCCATTTCCTGGCTCTCTCTTTTCTGTCTTTCCATTACATTTTACATCCAAGCACCAAAGACATAACAAATGAACAGTGAATCATTGAACCAATTTATTGGCTTTTATAAAACTTGCTGGGAAAGGTTGTTACTATTTAAAAGGATAGTAAATAATTCTAAATTAAATTTCAATTTGCATTTGATTATCATCTTAACTTTTACCAGTGATGGCAAAAAACTCTAGGAGTTGGACCATTCAATTTAAAAATAAATGAAATCAATGAAAAAAGTATCTTTTGTCCTTTTACAGAGAAGAAACTCAAACAAGTTTGCAGACAACTGGATGAATCTCATACAGATAAAGTTTTGGTTTATGTCACCCGTTTTCCTCTCTAACCTTCTTGTGGTACATTATCTGCTTTCTGGTTTCTATATGATACTAAATTCTAATCATCAACTGAAGTAAAAGAAAATAGATCAGATGTCTGTAGTACAATCAATACCTCATTGCACTAACATTAGAATAAGGTAGGAAACAGTAAGTTCTGAGAAAAGCTAAATCAGAATTAGTGGCAAATTTCACTTTTTTAGGTTTCCTCCTCCAGGAGTCCAGGAGACTCTTGGAAAGCATCACAAAGCTTCAGGTGTTTTTTTCTATCTTTTTTGGTGTAAGTACAGTTTTAGTTTGGTCTTAGAACCTGGGGCAGGATTTGATACTTGGTACCTGGCTACCCCAGACCAGTAACATTCACATCCTTGGTGAGCTTGTTAGAAATGCAAATTCTCAGATGTAAGAATCAAAATCTCTAGGCCAGAGCCTAAGAATCTGTGTTTTAAGAAGCCCTCCAGGTGATTCCAATGCATACTAAAGTTTGAGAATCACTGTCCTATAGTCTTGCTATGGAAAGTGTGGAGTGTGGACCAGCAGGAGCACCTGCCAGCTTATTACGAATTCTAAAACCCACCCTAGTCCCACTGAATCAGAATTTTAACAAAATCCCAGATGACTCACATGCACATTAAAGTTGGTCATGGAGGGAACTGACTGCCTTCTGAGTATATTCTAGACTCAGGTTGGAACCCTGCCTGCCACCTGCAGTAGCTCTGGACCTGAACGGCTGGATTCAGAGCTGGACCATCCTGCTGGGGTGTAACAAGGCCCCATTCACTGCAGCATTCACCCCCTGACCTTCCTTAACAAATGCATGAATGACTAGTGCTTTGTTGGACACTTGAAAAAATAATAAGAACAGGGAGCACGAAGGCATCGTGAATCATATTGCGCATTCTCCAGTATGTATGGATGCTCTCAGGAAGTGCATGTGCTCTTTCCAACACTAACTGTAGCTTCTTTCTCTTAGGAGCCCTGAAGCATGTTTGGGAGAAGATAGTGAGGCTCCCACTTAGTGGGAAGCGATAAAGGAAATAAAAAGGTAACCTGTGAATTAAAAACAAAACAAAATTGCAATTATTTTTGAAGTGTCATACCTTGAATAGTTCAAAGAGCATATGATGAAGGTGAGAAGGTACATACACAATGTGAATTGGTTGGCCTGGCGATTTTCCTAGAAAAAAATTAAACTCATTTAGAACTGGTAAACAAGTATTTCATTAAAACAAACTTCCACATCGATTTGATTAATAGAGACTCCTTATTCCCAAGATTAGAATACTCCCCATCTTCCCTTACTCTGAAATTCTACCCTAGAGCCTTCCCTCTTAAACAGTAAACACAACTGGCTTATTTTCAAAATACTATTACAGCTGCTGCCTTGTGCTCTATGATTAATTTTTGCATTTCTCTACAAATGTATAAGGTCAGATGAAGTGTGTGACAAGGGTGCTATAAATTAGATTATGTGGATTATTTGTCTCGTACTGGGCTATTTCAGAGTTAAAAATCATACATTTTAAGAAAGAAAAAAAATTCAGGTATCCATAGTATAATACTGAAATTAATGCTAGCTATAATTTTCATATTTTATGGGAAAATAACACATTTGATTTTTCTTGATTTTTATCAGCCAAACATTAAATCTTAGAGGCTAAATATGCTTACATTTCACTGGGAGGCAAAAGAAAACAGAGAAACAAAAACCTCATAATACTGTTTGAGAAGAAAAATAAAAGTACTATTCTTTGGTGTCCCAGGCCTTGGCAAAGTTTGAATCAGAAAACAGAAGGTCTGGCACAATTTCCTCTTTATTTTATCAAACAGTTCAAGCAGTTTATCTACACATATTATGCAACAATGCTGTTGATGCTTAGAGATATTTTTCAATCTTTATTTGTATTCCTATTTTTAAATTAGCAATTGATTACATGTACATATCCCCAGTCCATGAGTTGGGGTACTTTTAATTTGAGCAACTTAATTTTAACTGTCCTGCTCTGAGAAGCACTATGGGATAAGATAAAAACAGTGCCTTGCATTCATCATCATATCACTGCAAAGTGGGAAGACCCTCTCTTTTCAGGTACCCTGGAGCTGAAGCCACTGAAGTATGCTCTGCTTCCAAAACAGTGGTGTCTACTTACAGTGCAATTAAAAAATTTTTTTTTGTAATTTAAAAACATTTTTAAAAGAACATTTAACATGAGATCTACCTTCTTAAATATCTAAGCGTACAATATAGTATTATTAACTGTAGGCATGATGTTGTACAGCAGATTTCTAGAACTTATTCATCTTGCATAACTGAAATTTTATATCCATTAAGTAGCAACTCCCCATGTACCCCAGCTCCCAGCCTCTGGCAACCACCATTTTACTTTCTGCCTCTCTGAATTTAACTATTTTACATACTTCAGAGAGTGGCATCACACAGATTTGTCCCACGACTGGCTTATTTCTTTACAGTACAATTTAAAGTGTTTTTGTTTCCAGGTCTTATGAGTAACTTCTCCACGAGGATATTCCTGCTACCAAGTGGTTCCTCCTACTTCTGGCTTCCCTGACCCCATATTCTGCAATAAGCTATTTTTCTTTGATCTAAGACTGGAACTAGGTTGCTACTCTAAATCTTAAATTACTTGCTCAAACCATTCTTCTTTATGAATCATCATTAGCGACTGAATATGCTCAGTTGGAACTTTCCAACTGAGATGAAGAGAACTTTGCCTTCAAAAAAGAAGTGTACAAATTCTAGACAAGTTCAGAAGGGAGAAAAAGAACACAGAAGTTGCTTTGTATTTACAAGAAGTAATCATACTGGGAGAACAGTGAATTTCCTGTAGATTAAAATATGTTTTATTTGTAGCTTACCATTCACTTGTGTGAGCTTTAATTCTGGAGATGTTAAATAATACTGGTCACAAAGCATCTTTGAACACTCAAAGGCATCTGAAATAGAAGGTTTTTTTCACAATGATGAAATGAATTTATGCCAAGTAAAATTTTCATGTGATCTTCAGTGTGTGTACTACCCTTAAACTAGAATATTCATTAAAGTACAGGTTTATATATATGAAAAAATACCTCTTTAATATTTTATTGAAGAATTAAGATAGTGTTGAAGTTATAGCTGTGGCAATAGGAATATGCACACTTCAGAGACTTAACACAATATGTAAGAATATGGCACATCAGCCACTACTGTTTGGATTTTTATAATTTTATTAATGATTTTATTAAACCCCTGACTCAAAAGCAAAAGGACCTTCATGACAGTATTTATAAAAATTTAAATAGAACATTCCGAATATAAATTTATTCACAAAGTCACCTCAACTATAGATAAGTCAATCATATAGTATATATTTTCAATAAGGGAAATGCAGAAATCTAGAAATTACCTTGGACCACAGCTGCCACATCACAGTTTGGATCAATGCTTCCAATGTGAGTTGGGTTTCCTGTCTGTGAGTCACTAAATATAAGAACTGTTGAAAAATAAAAACAAAAGATGTTGTTATAAAAATCTGGATAATCATGATTAAAATTCTTCTTTCCTAGTCTTACAGGCAGAAACTATCAGTTGCTCTGAAAGAAAATGTTCAATCGTAGTTTTAACTGAGCTCCTGAATAATGAAACATCTGGGTCGGGTATGGCTTATATTCTACACCCTTCTCAGTATATCATGACCATGATGAGCTAACTTACTATGCTGGTTCATCAGCATCCGGGTAGAAATACGGTTCATGTAAAATCGATCCAAGAAATACTGAAGATTTTGATTGGTGACTGGGTCAACTGTACAGCCATCTTTATATTCTATGATTCCGTGTGCCATGGCCGGAACTACATTGTGGTGTCTATTTCGAACTTTGATGAGAGTATCTACAAAACTAAGCCAAAACACATTTACAGTTACTGAAAGTTCAAGTAAGTTTCATTCACTTATATGCCTTAGATTACTTCAAAGAAGGCTAAAGCTTATTTTAAGTAACCATCTAAAGAAATCAAATGATAAAATGTTTGGATGAAGCTTTACTAAGGTTCTTACTTACAGATTCTTCAACTACAATAGAGGAGATAGTATCACAAACAGACTTTTTTTTTCCTTCTAGTTAATGTAAAAATACCAGCTTTCTAACTGGTGAATTCATTCTGGGAATTCATTAAGCCTTCTCTTTAAAAAATAATAATTAAAAAATAATTAATATTAAAGAGAATTCTAGAGTGCCATTGTGGAAAAAACCTTTAAGATTTCTTCTTGGATTTATAAAAATATTCTTCTTTCCTAGTCTTACAGGCAGAAACTATCAGTTACTCTGAAAGAAAATGTTCAATCGCCAGTGACAATGACATATATTAATATTATGTAATAGTAAATCCACCTGTGAATCTAATCATCAGACTAAATTTATAGTAAAAAATAGATTTCCTTAAAAATAAACAGTTCCCTGCACTTGTTCGTACTCAGCCTCATTTTCAATGCCATCATTCCTTATCACTTTTAAAAAACCAACAAGTCAAAACTTGTCATTTGTAAGGGGGAGGTTATTTTTTATTCAGAGTTGTAGCTCCTTTAATTTATGTCTAAAAAAAATCTTCGGAGTATGTCTGGAAACAGTCAAAGTTTTAGAAACGTATTGTTATTTTTTTAAATTTTATTTTACTAGGTTATGCTAATCACTATACAATACATCACTAGTTTTTGATGTGGTGATCCATGATTCATTGTTTTCGTGTAACACCCAGTGCTCCATGCGGTACGTGCCTTCCCATTAGAAACATATTCTAATGCATAGAACTTACTCTGATAATGCTTTCTGGTCCTCTGGGCTTTTCTCATGGAATTCTACCAAATCCATCAGGCTCCGGATATACCTATAAAGTGACAGGTGTGCTTTAAGTTTTAAAGTTAAATAGTCAGATACAAGTGGCTAAATCATTTCAAAATGATTGCAAAAGAGAAAGTATTATGTTTAAAGTTAAAACTTTCCTTTAAGACACCTGGAAAACACTATATCTAAAAAAACCCCAAAAAACAAAAAAACAGTGAAGCTACGACTTTAACCCTCACCTTTCTAACTTAAAATTTTATTTCTTTAATCATTCCAGATCAGTAGTCAGTTTTTTGTTTTATTTGGCAAATGTTTTCTTTTTTTATAGCATTTAGAAGTAACTTTTTAAGGAAGGCTTCCTATTTTTTCCTACTATATTCATTCATAGGTGAGTAGAAGTCGTGAAAGCGGCAGTAAATACTATGGATGATGTGTTTCAGATTATAATTGCTTAATATGTGTTTCAGATTGTAAATGTTTAATAATATATATATTTATAATATGTATTTATAATATATAATATTTATATAACTATAATACTTATATATTGTGTATTTATAATATACGTAATTATGTAATATATATTTACAGTATTTTTAATATGTATATATTTCTTAAATCAATAAACAAAAAGCTGTGTCGTCAGTGGATTAGGGTGAGGCTCCGGTGTATATCTGCCTCAGTGTATACCCCGGTCCTATTCTCTAAAAATCTGTTCCTTTGGGTGATCTACCCTCTCCAAGCCTCAGTATCCTTATCTGTAAAATGAGATGATAATAACTGACAATTATTAAGTGCTGGCTGTGTGCCAGATACTGTTTCAAGTACTTTTTTTAATGGATTAGCTCATGTAATTTCACTCACATAACCCTTTGAAGCATATACTTTATTTTCCTCAGTAACAGACGGGGTAATTGAGGCATAGAGAATTTAAGATACTTGCCAAGAATTCCACAACTAGGAAGAGGCAGAGGCAGGATTTGAACCCAAAGCCTGCTGTTAATTGGTTTCTAAGTAACAAAGATTAGATCCTCTAAATAGTAGTCCTTCTGTCTATTTCTAGGATAGCATTCCGTGTGCAATGTCAAATTCTGTCTTTTATTATTTAAAATACAATTACATTGTGAAAGTATGTACTTTTTCAAGGCAAAATGTCTGTAGCTTTATAACTGTCTTTATGATAACTTACCCTAAATTACTAAAAACATCTTTACATCTTTCAAAAATATTTACTGTTCAGGCCACCCGTTTTCCAATTATGATGCTAACGTATTATAAGAATTCATACTCAGATACTAGTCTTAAAAATAGAGACTGTTTCAGAATGATTCACCACTTACCAGCTTTTAACTAATTGCACTGAAGAAGTATTGACTAATCGATCAGGGAGGATATCAATTTCCTTCAGGATATTGGCTAGCCTCACAGGCAATTCTTGTCTCAAAAATGCAAAAGAAGTTCTTTCACACGCATTTTCTGAACCTGTAATAAATAACTTTTATTTAGCTTTGGGGAAAAGTAGCTCTAAATGATACATCTGAATAGTATTAACTAACCAATATTGAACACACACACATATCATAAAATTATAGTTTCACCCTCAGTTGGGTTAGTATTTATAGTAAGAAGAAGTATCTCCTTCTTCATTGTCTTTTTCTTTACTTTCTAGCTTTGGGGGAAAAGTAGTTCTAAATGATACATTTGAATAGTATTAACTATCCAATATTGGACATACACACATATCACAAAATTATAGTTTCACCCTCAGTTGGGTTACTATTTATAGTAAGAAGAAGTATCTCTTTCTTCATTGTCTTTTTCTTTACTTTCTTTTTTTTTTAAATGACCAATATGAGAATTGTTGTTTTCTTTTTTTGGAAGAGGATTCACTTCCATGAAGTCAAAATATCCCATAGCTCAGTCAACATCACAATGTCAACCTGACAACATCGTTCAGAAAGTTCTAGATATGAAATTGGAGTAGAGGGATAAAAGGGTGGGTAGGAGTGATGATGTTTCCACATTAGTGATAAATAATACCACAACTAAATCCTTGAAATTTCCCTTATAAGATCACTGCAGAAAGTTTGTAAACAGTTTTGGCAGTAATGCAAATATATGGAAAACCATAATGGTTAAGAGACAAATCTGTTAGCAATGCAGAGATGAAGGTGGCTAAGGGATAAAATCTGAATTAATTTGAGGCTACTTTGTAACATTAGGAATCCTCCCCCAAAAGTATTATGCTGTGAAGGAGGGGATAAAGTTTTTTAAATCATTGTTAAGTAGTGACAGAAAGCAGTAAGTATTTTGACTGGAAGCTTTGGACCGTAAGATGAGCTCAAACCATCCAGTATCAGCTGGTCAGCAAGTGGCCTTGACCTGTAGGCACAAACTGTCAGAAATAAGGCAGATCTAGGAAAGGGCAAGGTGCACTGGCGTCGAGGCTCCAAGTTTCCGCAGAAGAGCGGACTCCAGTTATTTTAAGCAATGAGCTCTGCCCTCCCTGCACAAAGGCTGAAAGTTAAGGAAGCTCCCCAACCCCAGCGCCCCCACCCGGCCCTACTTCCCAGCTCACCAAAGTCCAGGAGCTGCTTTATGGACAGCGGGGACGGGCTGTAGCGTGAAAAATGCTCGACCTCGCGGGGCACCAGGCCGGCGCTGCGCATCATGAAGCGGGCCGCCTTCATCTTGATGCCCACCCTGCCCGGCAAGCGCTGGGACTGGCTTGAGGAACGAAGGCTGAGGAAAGCAGAACCTAGGACCTCGAGGAGGGGGCGGTGCGCGTCTGGGCAAGGAGGGCAGGTGGGCTGGCTCGTGCCTGGCACCCGGCCTGGGCTGAGATTCTGGGGTGCTTCCGAGTGGAGGAGGCCGGCAGTAAGCGTGAGGAGCCGCGAGTGGCTAGAGACTCAAGCTCCCGTCTGGCCACCACCGGCCGCCTCCCGCCGCTTTATTTGTTTTCCCGCACGCTCCCCACCAACTCCAAAGGGGAGGAGTCACTGGGACTTGGAGACACGTCCAGAACTGGGGCCGCGCCAATCAGCTCAGATAAAGAACTTTGGGCCCCGCCCCCCGGCGCGTGGTCCCGTCGGTGGAAAGACCCCGCACCAGTGCCCGGGGCTGTGAGGAGTAAGGGGGAAGGAGGAAGGTGAAGCGGTCATCTGGAGGTACATGGGCTCAGGATCAGCCACTTGGAACAAGTCCCGGATCGCGTGGGCTGGGGGCCCGCCCAGACTCGTCCTTGTTTACAAGTGAGAGACCGTCTCAATGTCACGCATTCCTGACCAGAAACTATTTCCGAGAATCTGAGCTCCGGGATGTCATTGGTTCTTGCTCAGAGCGGGCTTTTACAGTAGCCAATCAGCTGCATTCAAAAGTATGAGCTTCTCTGCCATTGGACAGTGAGAGAAATAAATAGCCTAAAGAGTGCTTTTAGTCTTTTCTCCAGGAGCGAACAGTACAAGTCAGGAGCTGAAAGTTCCTTTTGGTGAGACTTAGGCTTGAGTAACTTCCCAAAATACATTTACTTTTTCCTGTGGCCATAAAAGGCCATCAATTTGTTTTTTTCCAGTAATACATTATCTTCATTAGGTTTAACCCTGTTAATTAAAAACAAAGTTATAAAGGGATCAATTTGTCAGTTTAACTCGCCGCCTTCTACCCTCAGAATTTATTCATTCTGACCTCCTGTATAGAATGTCCTTAATTCAAATCTTTGTCTCCTCTTAAATGTCTAGCACAAACTATGTGCTGCAAGAGGTCTTTCCTGATGGCCTCTCCTCCATCCTTCTTCTAATATGGTCTTTGTCACTTAGGACATTATATTGTAGCTATTTATATTATTGTATTGACCTCTCTGAATCCCCTTCCCTGAAAAGGATTAGGGTTGGGACCAAGTCCGGTGTATCCTTGTGATTCCTACCCTGCTTTATCATTACTTAAGCTTAAACAATTGTGCAAACATGGGGGAAGCTCTAAATTGCATCTACACTTGGAGATAGGTTTTGATACCACTATGATATATATATTATATATATACATATATATATATTTATTTTTATTTTTAGAGAGAGAGAGAGAAGGAGAGTGTGTGCGCGAGTGGGGGCGAGGGGCAGAGGGAGAGAGAGAGAGAGTCTTAGGCATGCTCCAGGCAGGACAAAGCTGGACATGGGCCTTGATCCCACCACCCCCAGATCATGACCTGAGCTGAAATCAAGAGTCAGATGATCAACTGACTGAGCCACCCAGGTACCCCTAGGATTTGTATTTTTGTACTCCAATTCCTTTATTACATATTTGCATAGCTTGATGAAGCAAGAAAAAAAAAGAAAAGAAAAAAGAAGAGCAAAACAAAAAATGTGTACAAGAAGCCAAACAATGAAATAAAACCATCTCCGATGAAGCAAGAAAAATTTAAGGTAAAAATACACCCCACTATTTCCCCCCCTGGATTATATCTTAAGAACAGAAGTAAAAGAATGCATTCGCTTTTCTTTCCATGTCTGTGGGATCTGGAATAGGCAAAAATGCATATTATAAAGAATTACACTCTTTAATTTGCAGAGGAAAGGCCATGGAAAATGATGTATTACAGGCAGGTCTAATTTTGGAAAGCCCCACCAGTGCTCTTCTGGCTTAGCCAGCACTACTCCCCTACGTATTGCCGGATGACTAAAGATCAGGGGAAGTCATATGATGTTCACAGAGATGGCTCAGGGCTAAGTGTGCACTGAGGTCACCAAACTTTTGTCTCCATGCCATCCCATCCAAGAATATTTACCGGATTACCCTCGCAGTGCATTGCATTCTTCTATGTCATTTCTCTATGATGGAAACTGTTATAATTGGTGACATTTATGATAACTGGGCTGGAATAGCCAGGTAAAAGTTGTTTACACAGCTGGCTAAGTCACTATGTATCACCATGATTAGAGAGTGACCTGGAAAGATAGTGGCACTTGTATTCTCTGGCTGACCACTGATCTTGGAGGTTATCCAGTCTCTACAGAAGTAAAGCAAAGAGAATTATTATTTGGGGGCAATGGTTATGGAGAAATTTGTGCATTCATTCAAGTAAAGGTAAACCATGAGAGGACTATCAAATGATTTGGTGCTGATGAGCAGGGGGAAGTATCAAAGTTTCCCCCTTGTACACAGTCCTGAACAGAGCACCCCTGCTTGAGGCACCTGATTCCTGAACTTTTCAAGAGTAAGCTTACGTAGCATCAAGTTAATTCTATCCAGCTTGCTTAGCAGAATCTGATAACATAAGACCACTGATAGAGCTTTAAGGATGCAAGTGACCCTTTCGCCAGAGGGCTGGAGATGTCTAATTTGACAAAATGCTTCAAGACCCTGAAAAAGATGCCTTTTCAATTTTTTCACCTCTAGGGACATATTGGGAGGGAGCATTAAAATATAAATATAAATAAATATATATATATATCAAGAACTTCAAAAGCCATGATGGAAGCAAGAGAGAGAATGTGTGTGTATTGCTGAATATGTATGTGTGTGTGTGTATAATAGAATATGTATGTATATATGTAGAATATTTAAAGTTAAAAAATTAAAAAATTAACAGTAGACTTGAAGAAATTATAAAATATGTAAGAGACAAATGATTAGTTAAGAAATGGCTGTTTCAGCAGGGAAAAAAATAGTCATGATGTATTCTGTCTTGGGAATTATAGATAATGGCCTGGAGCTACCTTAGATTTGGTAGGCAAGAAGGGTCTCTCTGAGAAAGTGATAATTATAGGCAATTGAGAATCCTTCTTTTGGGGAGTGAGAAGGGAATATTGGTGAAAGCATATTGGTGAAGAGATTGGGGAAAACAAGGCCTAAATCACCATTTGGTCTGTGATATTTCTTATAATTGGTATTTTTAGAGGCTACTAGGTGCCAGGAGCTGGACTAAATGCTTTGGTTGGTGTGAAACATCTTCTTTCAAATATCTCAGACTAATAGTGGGTGGTGGAAAACAATGGCTAATTAAAAACATTTTTTTTTTATTCATGGGACTTTCATTTAATCCTCAGAGCAAAAAAAATTACAATTAAATGCATTTGAAAACAGTTTATAAAAGAGATTCGTTCAATCAGTGTGTCATGTTGATGGTGATAGTAATGGTGCTCAGGGGTGTTTGGAGGAAGGGCTATGTTGGGAATCAGGAAATGTGTCCTCTCCTAACTGGCTGTAGGGATAACTTGAGAAACATGAGCAAGATTTGGGCAAATTATTGGTAGACAGTGAGGAAGGATGTCTAAGCCTGAGCAAAAGCATGGATGTGGGAACTAGAGATATAGTGGAGTAATGACTAGATTGGTCTGGCTGCCATCTGGAGTACCCCAAGGAAGAAGGACATGGGAGCTTAGGGTTATATCATAAAAACCTTAAATGCAGATACGAGGACTTTGAGGTTCCTGAGGTAGGCAACATGGAACTGTTGGAGCTCAAATTTGTTAGCAGTTAAACAATTCAATGCAATAAAACTTCATTGAACACCCATTATGTACCAGACACTATGATTGGTGCTGAGGCCATCAAGATGAAAAAGCATAGTCGCTGTCTTCAAGGACAGGAGAAAAACATGTAAATAATCTAAAGAAAAAATAATGTGATATCTATAAGGTGTGTGTGTGGCGGGGGGTCAGGGAAGACTTCCTTGGAGGCAGTGACATGGCATCTGAGTTATAAAAATTGAAAAGAAGTTTGAAGGCACACAAAAAAGAAAGTGTTAGGGTAATGAGAGAGAGAATGAATAGAACCACTTTACTGGTAGGCTTTCCAGCTCTTGTCAAATCTGAGAACAATGAAAATAAAAAGTTCTGTGATGTTCTAAGCCTGTATTACTGGAAGGGGGTGATTTCATTAATAGAAGCAGGGAAGTCAAAGGGTCAGGAGGAAAGGGTAGGCTGACTGAAGGGGGGAACACAAATGATGCGTTTGTTTGGGAACACTGAGTTAAATGAGAAATCACTGGGGAAGAAGTCACGGCGGTGGTTCCTGGGGAAGGGAAGGTGAGAATTCAAGGCTGTTCGGCCATTGCCAAGAAGTGAAGATAGGTGGGTGAGACTCACGCCCGTTTCTTTCCACAAGGCTCCCCTCTCCTTCCAGCCTACAGCTCTAGCTCACTTTTTCTTCTGTGCACAATACTTCCTTCTGAAGAAGCCCTTGGTTCCATTCTTTGCCTCCTTACACTTATAAAGGCTACAATTCTTCTCCTCAATAAAGCAACACCAAAACAAAATGGTTCATTTTTCTTCTTTGGCACCTATAGCTTCAGTGTTACCAGGAAAAAAAAATAGGTCAATCCTGAAGCTAACACATCTTGACTTTTTGTGGGAGACAAGAAGATTTTTGCTTCAGGCTGAGCATTCTTTCTCCCGCTCCCACCCAGAAATTTCTTAATTGTGTCTGGTATTTGTGTTGAAAACCAATAAGGGAAGGTGAGCAAAGGAAATGAAAAATTAACTAAAGAAGAAAAACAAATGTGTAACGAACATATGGAAATATGCTCAAACTAATGAGTGAGTAGGAAAATAAAAAGTAGTAAGACAATGCTACATATCAAAGTTCTGTCAGATGGCAAATAACAGAAAAAGCTAATAACATCTCCTCATGTTGGCAAATCCTGGGGAAATAAGCATTCTCCTATACTATTTGTGGGAGTGTATAATTGGCACATTTTTTTGGAAGGCAATTGGCAGAATTTATAAAAATTGTAAGGATAGTTACCACATGTTTTAGTCATTCCACTTCTAGAAACATATCCTAGAGTTTTACCAATAGAGAGTGCAGAGATACGTGTACGAGATGGTTCATTGCAGTATTACCTGCAAGAACAAAAAGAATGTGAAAATGTGTGTACTCATGAGGGAACAGATAAAAATAAATGACATACCCATGCACGAAGATACC